CAAACATTTACATCGATTGTCCGTTTGAGAGATAAGGGAGCCAAAGTGTTATTCGCTTGTGGCGGCAAAATACAGAGCCACTATATAAGATTCATTCGTTTTTAAAACGAATACGAACATGCCCAATCCAGCGATGCATATTCCAACAAACAGACTCTTTTCTTGCTTTGCCGCCATTTTGTAAAGGCACTGAATTCGTGCTGCCAACTGGTGCACACAATACAAACTTGGTGAGTTTACGGTTCTTTTTATATATCAATCATGTTTGTACGTGTGATAGTTTGGAAAATATAGCGTTTTAAAAACGAATGAATCATTTGTAGTAGCTCTGTATTCTGCGCCGGCCATGACCGGGACACTTCGGAATTTATTCCATGATGCAGATATCTTTTAGCTCACATGATATAGTCGCTACATCTGGACGTGTAAGTTTTAAGTAACGTGAAATGTATGATGTAATTCACAATACCAAACAGAATCGTTGTTAAGAAACAAGCTACCTTAAACAACAGCATTACAAAACGCTCGCGAACAATTACGTATTTCACTGCCTCGACCCGGTTGATTCCTGGGTTCAGCATTATAAAGGTTGGAGATTTAGAGAATCAACGCCCCTCTCGTGAAACATACAGAAGATATATGTTGTTTTATAGTTAAAAACGACCTGTGTTAAAACATACATTTCTAAAGCATAGCAGACTGTGAATCTAATGTGAAAATGTCTAAAAGAATAAATTTTATACACTACTGTATGAACTTACAGCTGACTGCACTAATTGTTCATTACTGTCTATCTATTCCTGTTGCTCCCACTTGGAGCGTAGAGCATTCGTGAAACACTTCTTTTCACTTCAGTTTCTTAATATTAGCCAGTTGGTAGGTCTCCTAAGACGAGGAATCAGCCCGACGCAAGGCCGTTACCTACACTGGGCAACACAGACACAGAATAACGCAAACAAACATCCATGCCTGAGTGGGCGAAGACGTTTCATGTCTTAGACCGCGCGGCTACTGTGATCGGCCATTACTAATACCACCAAATAATTTCAATCAAAACTTAAATATGAACAGAATGTGTAAATCCAATTAAAAGAAATAAATTATGTGATCTGTGGCACAAATGTACTTTGTACCTGGTGCCACTCCATAGGTTATACATAAAATTGTCAAAAGGCTTTTTCTTGGCATAAATGAAAAAATCTCAGAGCTTTTAAATTCAGTAATTTGAAAGGAACACATATCTTGGAAGATGAGGATGGCCTTTTCTATTTGATATGAGAATTTGTAAGCAGAAACAAAGTTCGAGAATTGAGACTAGAAAAAGAATTTTCTCTAGAGGACTACTTTTCAGTGTAATCATAATTTATAACATTAACCACTTTTTTAGACTACACTGAGCTGTACTACTTTTCCCTCTTGATATGTTTTTTAATGAAAAGGATCATGAATTGCTGTATATAGAGAACAAATTCTAAGGTCATGTCCTTTTTCACCATTGGCAAAAGGATGAAGAGACATTTTGCTGAAAAACTGATTTGTGCCAGTATTGCAAAAATTACGATTTTGATGGATTGCATAGTTTGCATGCATGTGAAGCAAAACAAGTTATCTTCAAATTTCTCTAAATTACAGAACGAAAATTAACATATAAACCAAGATTCCTTTTCTCAATTCAATCTCTTAAATTTTAGTTGCGCACATGCCTATATAGCAGCACTTCCTCCAGTGGACATTAAGTTTCCAAGCCAGTGAATTTCATAATGTAAGTCTTCTGGGTTAAGATGCTGTGTAGTCTAGTACACGGCTACCAACATTAAGGAGGAACATATTACCTTCACTGCCAGTATGTATAGGGACAGACTGTTCTTCTGAAACTTAGAGATCCACCCACCAGACGAGTGTCATAACCCAGAAGAGATAATGTATCAAAGATTTTGTTTGACAAGAACTTTAATATGGCCAGAAGATATACACAGATGTTTATTTTGGCAACAGTGTGGTCTTGAAAATGAGTTACATTAAAGTAAATGAAACTTAACACTCTTGCAATGTAAGAACAGTACACCTCGTGTAATTAAAATCTACATAAGAGATCAAAGACTATTCTTTTTGTTTAAGAGCAAAATTAAACTACCCTTTAAAATTAATCAAACTAAACCAAAATCAACATAGCCCAACAGAGTTTAAAGCAGATCTACCAAACCAAGTTTGATCAAAATTGGCAAAGTACCGTTATGAGCTGTTATGAGCAGACATACAAATGGCCATGAAATAATGAAGAGATGGCTTTTGAAATGTTTCTTTTCTTCTTTTTTTCAAAACTTGCCTAATAAAATGGACCATTAGGAGTCCTCTTATTTTTTTTTCTGAGTAACTGCATCACTTGCAAGAAGCAGAATATTTATAAACAATGATTCTCTGACATCCCTGACAATGTCTTTTCCACAACACTGCAATTAAAGGGGGCATTGTTCATTACCAGAGGTTTATTTTTTTGTATAGGATTCCAATAAAATTATGTTATATTCACCTGCATTTAAAAAGGGAGGAAATTATGACATTAACAACTATTTATATCAGATAACAAATACAAAATTATGTCCAGATTCTAAAACTCTATGGTTTTTGAGGGGAGAGAACTCTTTGTGTATTGCCTTATTTCAAATATTAATCATTAACAGTCCTGAAAAAGGTAACATTTAATTAAACTTAAGTGAAATTTGATTATAAATGAGGCATTCCCATTCAACCAACAGCCTGTATTTGGTACATTTAAAATTATTATGATATGGGCTAAGTGAAAATATAACAATATTATATTTAAGCATCCTGTTGCACTCTACACGATAAATGATACAAACTCCGTCCTAAGTGCAAACAATATATATTTATATGTCTTTGATCTTGCTCTTTCTACACTACATGTTTCGGCCTCTATCGGCCATCATNGATGTATTGCTGTCACTTTATCATAACGTTTTATGTATGAGGTAACATAACCAAAAGTATGAAGGTATGCAGCTACAGACAACCACGTTTTCCACACATTACAAATGAGTTGCATTAAATATGTGTAACACTGCAGTGATTAAATAATTTTAAATGTATGGAGGTAAAAACATGAGGTTCTCCCAACAGTGAGTACTGAGATTCTGATCTTGTGGAATGTGATGTCTTGTATATTTTTAGATTGGTACTAACATTCTGAAAAGCCAGGATAGCGCAGTCGGTATAGTGACTGGCTATGAGCTGGATGGCCAAAGGATCAGAGTTCGAGTCCTGGCGGGGATAAGAATTTTCAGTTCTCCATGTCATCCAGACCGACTCTGGGGTCCACTCAACCTCTTATCCAATGGGTGTTGGTGGTTCTTTCCCTGGCGGTAAAGCAGTCAGAGCTAGAAGCTGACCACTCACCTCCAAATGATGCCGAGGTCAAGAAAATGTGTGTCACTGAGAAGGCATTCTTGTTATGATTATTGTGGGGAGAGTGAGGAGGGGAGGGAAAGAAACTGAAATGTACTAAAAACTGCAATGAAAAATACATATGCGCTGCATTAGTCTTCTCAATAGCTGAACACAGCATTCAAGTCCTATCTAACATGGAAAACTGATAATTCAATTATGCAGTGCATTTAAATATGTGAAAGTAGTGAACCTTTATACAACTATCTTTTTCAATCACAAATATTTAATTATTTAACATGTTACAAAAACATGTTTCTGAAATCAATTATCAGTTATTTATAACGTATTTCTAGAAACACTGCATATATTTATAGTGGCCAACATAAGCACATGCAGCTAGTACATCATTAAGACTAACTGCTAGTTTCTAAAATACAGTCAACTCTCGATTATCCGGGGGCGGATTAACCAGTTTGCGGCTTAACCGGGGCTACTGAGGCTTTTGAGGCTTATATGTTGTTTAATATTCATTCACTTTTGATTCACATGGTGAGTTGTAACACTATTTTCGCACTAGTGTGAACCAAGCTCTGCATTCTTTGGTCCCGTTATGCTAACACAATGTTCTAGGGTAGGGGTGAAAGAATGCAAGGATTTGTGGAAAGTTTCAAGGACAGATACACCACCCCAGTTGGTCTCTTTGTATCGATCTTCAAGTGCGTTAGCAAAATGTCAGGGTGTAAAAGAAAGCATATTGTGTTAAGTATTCAACAGAAACTCGTGTAAGCTGGGCTTCGAAATGTTAAGCAGTGACGAAACCGTAAGTTCAGTGGGGGTGCAGCTGGAAGAGCGGGAAGAAAGTGGGAATGAGGAAGAGGTGGACAGTGCTGCTAGTAAGAAAATATCAAATGGTACTGCTCTTAATCATTTGGAATCCTTACTAGACTATCTTGAGAGTGAAGAGAACAGTTTATTAAGTGACAAGCTAATATTACGTAGGCTTCGTACAGATATCCGTAAAAAGGAAAATGCCGCGAAAAAGCAAACGACAATATTAATTTTTTTAAGTGTTAAGTGTGAATATTCATAAAGTGTTGGATGTTGTTGAACGCTGTGATTGAAATAACTAATTCACACTCCAGTATAATGTAAAAAAAGTATTAAATAGGGCATGAGATGACATAAAAATGAGGTTGAGTAAATTTAAATACAGGTAGGCCTATAGTATTATAAAGGTACAGTATTACAGTACTACTTTTAATAACATTTGTCTTAACCGGGTTTTCGATTAATCGTGATTTCCATGCCCACCATTATCCCGGCTAATCGAGAGTTGACTGTACATATCACTTCAGTTGATCAAGCTAAAAATTTAGCACTGTATCACTTCAAAATTGATTCAAATGCACTAGATATTCCTAGTTAACACACCTAGACTGTACCTCAGCAATTTGTCCAGGTTATCATGAACTGTAGTTCTGGATGTTATCCTTATTTCTTTCTATTATCCTACACAGCAACAGACTGCATGTTCTTGAAAAACACACAGAACTGCCTGTATTATTTTACTGGGCACCAATGAATAGGGACTATATGACTGTCAACACAATTTATTTAGATGTGTGGTATGTACAAAATATATACAATAAAAACCATATCTAGTCACTAACACTACATACTTTGAACATTTTTGGAGATCATCAGATGGAACATACTCATAAAGAACTCTGTTACTGAATTGTCATAGGTTACCTTACTGACATAGATTCATTTCAAGTAGGTTTAGATGTGTTACACAATTACACACTATACATGTTAAACTAACTAATATTAGGATTTGAGGGTTTTATCATGATGACTATGTAGAGTATTATCTTCTTGAGTGTTAACACCATGTACTCTACTAAAGGTCCATGGATACGCAAGAGGAAAAATTACCTACATCTTCAAAGCTGAAGAATAAGTCAAGCAAGAAACCAGAACATTTTGATATCAGAATACTCTTAGGTATATTTCAATATCACAATGTGAACATTTTAGTCTCTCTTGTCTATACAATTTCTTCATTTCGTATTTTCAGTCAAAACAACAATCTATGAAAATATACAACTGACCTGTTTACATTGAGGTCGTTTATCTATGGCACAACATGTTTGAACCCTTAATGGGTCGTCACTGGGCACTATTTCATGTTAAGTGCTATACTCATATTTGTAACCAATACAGATCCATACTGTAAGGTTATCTTTATTTTTGATATTGCCTTGTTACGAGATCTTCAAAGTCAAAGTCATAATTGAATAACAAAACTATGATTTTTTACATCAGTACTAACACAACATTCAAACCACACCACAGACCAGGTGGAACATTAGAGACATCAAGTAATTATGTCACGACAACAAGATCCAAAAAGTGACTACTCCAAACAAGAAAGCGTATTCCCAAGAACTAAAACACAAGACCAGTATACAGAAGGAATAATTTACTCACACATACTTTTGATTTAGATATGATTTTAATATTAAAATAGTAACTTTATTAATTCTATTTAAACTTTGAAGATTTTATAACAGAATAACTCATTCACACATACCTTTATTTTAGTTTTGATATTGATGTAAAAATCATAATTCTATTATTTAATTATAACTTTGGCTCTGAAGATCTTGTAACAAGGTCATATCAAAAACAAAGATAACCTTACAATATGGATCCATATTGGTAAAAATACAGCACTTAACATGAAATGGCACCTGAGCTTGACCCATTAAGGGTTGAAACATGTTGTACCATAGATACACGACCTCAGTGTAAACAGGTCAATTGTATTATCTTCATAGATTGTTGTGTTGACAGAAAATATGAAATAAAGAAACTATATGTTTATGATGCAACATATAAAGACTCTCTTGGCTATACACAGCAGACTGATTCTGTACAGATAACATTAACTAATTCTTTGTGGTGAACATCCTCCCAAACAACAACATATTTAAAAATAAACACTAATCTTCATAAATTTCACAAGTATAACTTTTAATTGTATAAGGCATTGTAAACCTTGCTGTAATGGACCCATGTCAATAAGGTGTTCCATAGCAACACAATAATAAAGTTCTCTTCTTGTATGTACCACCTGATGGCCAGAAACAGTTGAAGCATACATCGGTTTTTAATAAATATCAGCATATTATATATACTATGCAGCAAAACAAGTTGTGTTGGTCATTCAGCCCCACTCTAATACCAATATACAACAGGATGCAAGCATTAAAGAACAGTAATATATTTATTACTAAGAGTATGCACCGTATTGACATCTATCAATGTTACAGTACATAATGCTCTCATGACACACAATGAAACGTTCCAGCATGTATGACAAATGGCGTATGCCACTTCCACAAGAAAAATTCTTGCAGAAACTCAATACAAAGTCAGAACACATTTTTGCTTCAGGGTTGCATAGGAGTGTTCCTAGGAGACAGAGCAGACCTATGAGTGAAACATTACTGTAATGGAACCAATATGAGGGAAGATAATGGTGATGGCTGATTAATATTAATCTTCTTAACAAACGATTTTTTGTCATTATTCTGAAATAAAAAAAAACATCCAACAGAAGAAATATGCACAAGGCTAATATAAACTCATCATGCCATCTAATGACCAATATCTATATCCTCCATCCCAGTAATATCAAGGCGCACAGAACTCTGCTTAGTCACATCAGTGGTTGCCTCAAGTTCAATACCTTCCATCTTGTTTCTCACAACAGACAATTCACTATCATTATCAGATTCTTGTCCTCCAACTTTTAAAGATGGATGTCTATTTGTAAGAATTATTTTTGTATACTTTAGCCCTGCCGACTGGTTGGTGATTGGCTTCTTCCCAATTGTGTGTAGAATTCTTTGGGTTTTCTGGAGTACTGGTCTGCCACCAAGAGCATTTACTTTCTCCCTGGAATTCCCACTTTTAATCAATACAAGATTTTGGGCTGATACTGCTGCTGCTGCTGGTTTAATGAAACTGGACATTTGATCTGTTACATCATCTTCTAATGGAAACGAGATTGTGTCTCCTGTGGTCAGGACAGAGGAAGCACCACCTTCGGCAGCACTTGCATCAATTGGCACAACAATCGGGGTGCTCAGAACTTCAGGCTCTGCTTTGTTGCCAGTGAAAAGAGAATCATCATCTTTTGCAAAGATAATTGGAAGCTCAAGTATTTTAGCTGGTGTTAAAGCATCATCTTCCTCTTCTTCCAATGTGGCTGGTGAAGGTGCATCCAACATTCTTCCTATTTTTGGAGGTTTCGATGCAGCAACTGAAGAATCTGGTCTCTTCAAATGTCCAGATGGCACTGTATACGTAGTGAGCTTTGGCCCTGTCATTTTCATTTGGTGTTGGGTGAATGTTTGTCTAGAGGGAGAGGATGCACTCATTTTGGATACTACAGTGAGGCACTGACCTGCAGAGTTACCGTCACTAGTGGTCCTAGTGGAGGTGGTGGTGCCAAAAGGAAGGAGAGTGATTGGGGATGGTGACACTCCAGACAAAGGCACCAGCAGTGAACTACTGCTCGTTGTGTGAGGGGACTCTGCTAACATCACAACATTCCCTCCACTTGCTGCTCCCACAATGCTCTTCCCACCTGCACCAGTCCCAGAGGTTAGTACTGTTAATTTGGACAAATCCAAAGTTCGACCCATGCTTGACAGCACTCTAGTGGATGCCACCACTTGACTCCCATTTGATACTAAGGTCTGCAGATTGTCTTCATTTCCCAAAACTGAAACACACACAACACAAGCATCATTAATTGCTATGTGTGTGTATGCATGTACAGTATGGTTATCACTTTTCTGTCCTACAAACTGGGGAACCAAGGGATGGGTAAGCCAAGGTTTGGAGATCTGTGAGGTGGAAGTGGTGACAGGGACAACTTTACTTTTTACTTGCAAATTCATTCAATGAAGTCTTCTCCTCAGATGATCAACTGTATTAATGTAGAGCTGGACATCAATGACCATCTGACTCCATCCACCATTCCCCATATAGTCCAGGCTAGGAGGGACAGCAGCACTGCCTATAATTATAGTGTGCTAACCTGACAATCATCACATCAACCCCTGATGACAGAGACAGAGAAGGTCTCTGAAATATCAAACACCAACTCCACACTGATATGGCTGACTGCCTGAGAAGAATTTGTCATTGTGAAAGCTTCCAACTGTATGTTGTAAATTTGCTGTTTATAAGGTATCCAGATAAATCTGTACTTGTTTATACTTATTTATTTAACAATATTTAATGAGACTTTTGAATCAGAATAGACATCACCAACATGCAGATCAAAGCTTGCTACCTGCTTCATGCTAGTCTCTTGCTTGACTCATTCTCTGACCATGAAGATGGAGGCAACATGCTCCTCTCAAATGTCAGCTGGTTTTCAATGGACTACGTGGCATTATATCCCTGAAGACAGGACTCTTTACAACAGAATCCTATTTCTGCAAAGATGCAACTGTGTTTGATATTATAACCCAGTACTGTTGTTTACCTTCAATATCATTTAGCTTCTTCTGATAGAAGACCAAACATCAAATACATTTGAGTGTTATCGTCTGTTTATCAAAATGTAATCAATTTGACTGTATGTCATCAGATCGGGAGAAGTTAAAGTGTACTTACAAATATTCTGATCTGGGAACAATTGTACTCTTGACAAATAGTTTCTTATGTGGCAAAGTTTGTTATCATTATCATTATTAGTTTTAGGTAAACTCTACTCACCACTGCTAATTTCCAAATATCTTCTCTCCCTGCTTTTGTATTAAAATCTAAACTACTAAGTTCTGATTTTAAAATATGAAGTGACATAATTGAAACAATATACAAATATTCATATTCTGGGAGACAGCTCACCACTTCAAAGTCTCAAAATATTTTGGATGATGAAATTTTCAGAATTATATATGATGAAGCCAACTTGTACAGGAGACAACAAATAAATGAGGAGGAGCTACAAGGTATTTTGTACAAGAAGTCTGATTTTCCCAGTGGAAACCTATCACATTACAGTAACTGTGTAAATATCAGTCACATGTGTGTTGCTTAAGCTGTCTGTGCATTCTTATTGGAACAAGAGACAACGGAAACCAACTAAACATATGTTGGTACATCTCATGACAGTTTCCTTGTGATTTTGACTATGCTACATATCAATAATAATGACACACAAAAACCCTGGGGGGCAAGCCTAGGTTTCATACAAGGTTATGGCATTTATGGTGGACAAAGTGGCACTGGGCCTCCTACTGTCTGCAGAAAATGATTACAGAACTGAATAAGAGGCCTGGGCCCTGAATGGGCTGGAAGAGCCATTGAAAAAAAAAAAAAGAAATCAAAGTCAGGGTACAGCATAATGTTCAGACGGGCCAATATATTAAAAAAGGAGAAATGTTATTTTCTGTTTAATTTATTTCCTATCTCAGTGTACAATGGTATTCAAATACTGAGATTACTAATGGTAGCTTGAAAAAGTTCTTTCCAATTTAATTTATTTTTTCCTGTTGTTTATTTGTGTAAAAAGAGCAAATAAAACTCAGCTGCTCATGGACTACCTACAACTGAAAGGACAACTTTTCTCAATTATGACACGATTGCTTAATCTGAAAACATTCTTCATTATGTCTAGCATGTATAATGTGAAACATACAATGGACTGAAGATTACTTCTTTTGGGATTTTATGCCATACATTATGGCAGATGTTTACTGATGTTCCTTCCAAAACATCAGTAAACATCTACAATACTACGAGTGTCAACACTAAAAATAGGGTGTGTCATGTTCTTCCAAAACCTCCCCAGACCACTTGCCATTGATCCCAGAAGACGGCAATCTTCATGATACTGCCGTGATTCTTATAAAA